GGATAATATGGTGTAGTGGATATTCTTTAAAAAAATATTGTATTTTTTTCACTGTCATTCTTCCGCCACTGGACATTCTTACACCACTACATGGTCAGATAAGTTGCAATAGAATAACTGGTTATATTTTAACAAAAAAATAATTATTTTTCATATCTCTTTTTTGAATAGGTAACTGAAGTATCCATTTCAAAAACTAAAGTGGACAGGTTGCTAAATAAATTGACACAAGCAGAACTAACGGCAGATATAAAGAGCTCATTGAGCAAAATGAAGGAACCAGCAAATTTAGAAAACTATATAAATGATGACTTTAAATGTAGATCAGATACTCCAGTTGAAGCACAACTTTGGATATTAGTAAAGAAGCAGGATCATCTGAATACTCGGATTCTGGAACAGGTTGCACAAAACAAGAAACATGTAGAAGTATTGCAGAAGAATATGGAGGAAACCAAGGCATCTAAAAAAGAAATAGAACAAAGTGTTGAGACATACAAATACATAGTGAAGTGTTTACAAGAAAAACTTGCTACTCTTGAAGAACAAATTGAAATTTTAACAACTGTAGAGTCAAGATAGTTTTAATTAGATACCAAAGAAACAACTGGGTGTATTATTTAAAAAAATCAAAAATACTGATTTAAATTGATTTATTTTTGAAATTTCATCATAAACTAATTTTATAAGAAACAAATTAAAGTCTTACTTAATATTAAATAGTATACATTTATCAGTCTTGATTTTACAGATGTGATGATTGCATGGTTGCTAGTGTTTTTAAATTTCTTCTAGTGCACCTATGTATAGTTTCAGTAATGGCCATACTTAGTAACCAGATTAGTGAATAAAGTAGCAGATATCTTGCACCTCTTTTGCAATTTAGGTGTTTGAGATGGGTAAATCAAACGGTAAGTCAGAGTTGAATCTGAATGTGTATCTAGATCTCGTGTCAATCAAACCCTGATGATACTGTGGAGTCAAACTTGTTTTTCACTTGCGAAGTGTCCGACCCAGGGCCACAGAGCTGCAAGTGCGCTTCTGCAAAGTGTGTATTCCAGCTCTAGCAGTATACCTGTGTCGCATAGTTCCAAGATTAAAGCGGTCTGCACTGTTGGATCGCAATCTGAATTTCGATTGGATGAACAAATAACACGAGCGACCCGAGATCTGCGGATTCGTATCCGGATGGATATTTCTAATTGTAAAGTTTATTTATTTACCCCTTAAAATTCATTTATTGAAGCAGTTACGTGATTCAGAATTCCCTTATTGTTGTAAGGTCCTATGATCAATGATCTAGTGATTGATAAATATGCAAATCTATAATGATGTAGTTGGGTGAATTTATTACTAGTAGTAATTGGTTTGGCATCAACATTTCTTGGCATATTCAAGATGGTTAGTGCACTCTTCAGGAGATTATACCTACAATATTTCTTAAGAAATTTAAAATTTAGTAATCTTGATAAACAGTTACAGTATCAATTAAAAATATTCCATAACAAAAACATTTGTCAGCCAAAAATTCGATTTTCATATATATTGATTAATCAATTCCTATCTCGCTGATATTAACATATTGAACACTCAATCTATCACTGGCAATGCATATTAAGTTCGAGTACCTATATCGCCTCAGTGTGGAACCTCAGTCATATTTGCCTACAAAAATATTTGTAAAACCTAAATTACATGTAACACTTGTTTTTTAATGTAGATAACAATGAAATTACAGTTTATTTCATAAGGATTCCGAACTTGTTAGTTTAAGTTTCGCTATATGTAGTTTTAAAGTATATAACATTATGAGTTAATTTAAGTATACATGATGTCGGTGCTCTTTGAAAAGATCAATTCTCAGTAATATATAAATCAATGCCTACTATACATTATTTTCGTATAATTTTATCGCTATAAACAGCGTACTACATGAAAGCTCCCATGAGGCATATTTATTACAACTTAATCCACAAATATATTCATAAAATTAGCCAGTCAAACTATAATACCTTCCTAAATATATGCCTTTTTCTACATGGTGACTCCTTTTCGGTCTAGGTGTCCAGCTGGGTGGTACCACTACCACCTTCATGCGTATTTCCGCCGCCAAACAGCACTGCTGTGTTCCGATCTGAAGGGTATAGATATTCAGTATTATCACAGACCTTGAGGAATTCTTATTCTTTAGGTGACAATGCATTTTATAGCCTTCTTTGTTCAAAGTTGGTTAAAGGTAACCATGGGCTGTGGTTACTAGCCTTTACTGTAAGTTCATTTGTGACTTCAATTTTTTAAAAGCTCTCTAACCGTAATTCCTGTCTATACATTAATATATTATTTTGTATTGAAAATTAAATTAGCTTATAAAATCATAATATTTGTTATTAATATATTGTTCTTCCTTTATTTCTTGATATGCGAACAGACAAGAGAAATTTAATAAAAATATTAATAGTATAAAAAAGTTGTTATCATAAAGGTAACAAACAAGCACACAGTCCACCAATATTTTATTCGTGCTACAACCATAATATAGCTGCATGACTCTACAGGGTTATTTTGCAATATACGCCCAAATTTGCAGACAATGTTCAGATTTCCTTTTTTATTAACTAGCTTTACAGCTTTGAAAGGTTCACAATAAGTCATATAGGCAAATGGCGAAGAGAAATTAATAAAAAAAATCTCAAATATTCTGTCCTTATCTTTTAAATTTAGAATGTGTGGTAATGCCAAAGATTTAAATCGTCTTTCGTCGTAGTGTCATTCATAAATGTCTAACTCTTACTATTTCACTACGCACGCACATACACATTCGTAAGGATCGCTCGGTTGCCAAAAACGTGAATTGAATTGCACACAGAGGAACGCGCGTACGAGTAGTTGTTGCCCATAAATCACCATTGGGACCATTTCAAATAAAAGTAACCTTAGTTACCTACTCGTATTTTCAAAAACTGCAATAACGGTACATACAATATGTAACGTAATTAACGCAAACCCTCAGACACCCCAATTAGTATATTATGTTACGAGTATAATCATAATGCATACACTGAATTTTTAGAACATTTTTATGCACTGATTATTTATCAAATTAGTTATAGTACTAATTCCGGAAGAATGTTGTGGTCACAGTACAAATCCACGAACGCAAAGACTAACATGCTTGAAATAAAGTTCATTTTTCTTTATTTTTATTGAATGACAGAGTTAGTAATAATACAAATAAAACTGCACTCTTAAAAGTCTTATTGCCTTAAGTTACGGTCCATTTCAGTTTGTTTTGACTGTACAGATTTAGTGTGTGTAATTTACGTAGTTTTAATTATTTTTGGGATAAAAAATTACCTATATTAAAAATGATAGGAATAGATTCATAATGATTTCTTATATTTACGCGAACACTATACATTGATTAAAACTACTTTTACGGATTTTATCGCGTTTTATTTATTTTATTTTTAATACCCGACGTTTCGGGTGCTTTCCAAGCACCCATGGTCATGGGGAACTGAGGTGACTGACGTCCCGATGTCAACGATAACCCGGAGTACATTCAGCTTTTTAATTACTGTCTTTGGTCCGATCTACGCAGAATGAACTAACTGTGTTTTGAAGTCTTGCAGTGGTATGCTTGGGTTTAGTTTTAATTTTATTAATTATAGGATCCCAAGCAGGTGGTAGAGACCAGCCTCCTTCTCTATTGAAATTAGGATGTTTTTTAATTTTTAGTTTTTTAGTTTTTGGTAAGAATCGATGTTCTTTCGCGAGGATTTGTGGTCTATCAAATCTGTTGTAATGTTTGGGGCCATCTAGGATATGATCGCAAACTGCAGACTTCTCGGAACGTTGATTCTTCACGTCAGCTATGTGTTCTTTTACACGGGTTCTGATTGATCTCTTTGTTTGCCCTATATATGAGAGACCACAATCACAATCAAGCTTGTACACTCCTGCATCTTGTAGAGGATTGTGACACTTGACGGATGGTAAGAACTGACTAATCTTCTTCGGCGGCTTGTAGAATGTTCTAATAGAAGCTCGCTTCAAGATGTAGCCAATCTTGTCTGTGACACCTCTGACATATGGTAGTACAGCAGGCACACGCTCGACTGTGGCCGGCTTCACTCGGTCACTGTGACGGAGGCGCGGGACCCGTAGCTTGTTGTCGTGCAGAACCTGCTTGACGTGCTGAAGCTCGGCGGCCAGGTGTTTGCTGTCACAGATCCCTCGTTCCCTCAATAGAGAAGGAGGCTGGTTACTACCACCTGCTTGGGATCCTATAATTAATAAAATTAAAACTAAACCCAAGCATACCACTGCAAGACTTCAAAACACAGTTAGTTCATTCTGCGTAGATCGGACCAAAGACAATAATTAAAAGCTGAAGGTACTCCGGGTTAACTTTGACATCGGAACGTCAGTCACCTCAGTCCCCCGTGACCATGGGTGCTGGAAAGCACCCGAAACGTCGGGTATTAAAAATGAAATAAATAAAACGCGATAAAATCCGTAAAAGTAGTTTTAATCAAGGAATCGATTCAGTAAACGATTCTGAACAAACTACTTTCTCAAAATGCGTTAATTATGTTACGTGTTGTATATCATTATTTATATATTTGAATTTAAATATAAAAATTGTATACAATTTGAGAAATAACCCTGTATAATGTAAGATACATTTCGATAATATTGAAAAACTACTATGATGCTGAAGTCACTCAAGTTGTAGAATAGAAAAAATAGAAATTTCGGAATTGATCATCAAGTTTTAAAAACAGTACTAGAACAAAAGTTAGTGGCTTTAAAGATAGGGATTAAGGCCTGAGAGCTTTTTGGTATGATACAATTAATCCTGTATATATATGCTTTACATGTGTACTCATTTCACTCATTTATTTACTATATAAACCCACTGTTTGCTTAAGGCTTTAAATCATAAGTGTAAAATATTTCATAAGTGTAATTTATAAGTGTAAAATATTTTATTTAATTCACTTTTTATTCATTTGTTTTTGTAAAATTTTTCGTAGTTTTAACTTTTTATTTGTCTTATCAGACAATGGTCTGCCTAATGGTATTAATTCCATTTGCTGCAAACGCCGCCTGAATCTCTGATAAAACTCTAAGACATTTGGATCTGCCCAAACATGTCGTGAATCAAAGTCTAAAACTCGTAATGTATCAAGGCTTTGTGCTCTGCTTAAAGCTACATAAGCTTGACCAGCTTCAAATATTTTGGATAAAGACATTTCTACGCAGTCTAAAGTTAAACCTTGTGATTTGTGTATGGAAAATGCCCAAGCAAGGTTCAGTGGGACCTGTCTACGGCATAGCAATGATCCACTCGAATTTTTGACATACCAGCGCTCTGCTCTTGCAGTGTACTCTTTTTTATTTTTAAATCTCACGACAGGAAATCCATCATCAAACCTGACAATAACACCTCTTGCCCCATTCACTAACCCTGCATTGACATTGATATTTTTAAGAAGCATTACTTGGGCACCAACTTTAAGGATTAATTTGGATGGAGCTATAGTCTGATTATCTAATATTTTAGTGGCATTATCACTATCCTGTGATATAAACACTTTCTCCTCTCCTTCTAAATCTCTCAACTTTGAATTGTTTATCATTTTAGAGTCATTTGTGTGTGAACATAACCTAGTAGCTAATATGCCATCACTTTCAATCTTTTGTCTAGCAGTTCCTAATAAGCGATCACTAATCTCTTTTGTCACACGGCCTATTCTGATACTATTTAATATAGTTATAAACTCTTGGTCAGTCTGTCTATGTACTTCTTTCAGTTCAAAACAAAGTTCAATACATTTATCCCAACATGGTGATTGAAAGCAAAACTTCTTTCCATTTTTACTCTTTTCCACAACTGGTGGCAATTGTAAAAAGTCCCCACATAATATAAGCTGTATTCCTCCAAATGGTTTGTCATTCTTTCTTACATATCTTGCCACTGCTTCTAGTTTCTGTAAATAAATTTATATTATATGTAAATAAACAGATTCTAAAATAGAATGCTTACAACCAACATAGGTACAGTTATACAGTGGCACCTAAAGATATCTTTCCATCGATGTTACATCTGTAAAGGCGAATGCTACACGCGTGATATTTATTACGATCTGGGACGAGATCTGGAATGACGTATCGCGATCCATATCGACACACCCTACACGTTCATTATGGATCACAGTCAGTAATGGGCACTAAACTATTAAGTGCAGACGTATCTAAAATGGACTGAAATGTAGAAAGTTTTTTTTTTATAGGATAGGGTGACATATGAGCACACAGTCCACCAGATGGTAAGTGGTTGCTGTGGCCCATAGACATCTACATCTATCCTCGATTATGAATCAGAATGCAGATGCGTTGTCCCCCATGAGGACTAAGATGGAATGCCTCGTTTCCAATAAAAAGGGTCTCCGGTTCTCTACACTCATCATACGCAACACAGTAATATTAAGCTACTATTTTACGCTGGTATTCTGTGAGAGCGTGGTCTTTCCCCGGTCGAGCCAACCGATTCATGCTACAACTATACTACTAATATAACTGCAGCATGGCTCTACCACATATAAAAGCTTACTTAAAGCTTGTGTGGCTATCATTATGGCAATAATATTAAAAAGGAGAGTGTTGATTCTAACGATTTTTTTCTAACATCTTCTATTGAAGCATTATTTTTTTAAAAATTGGTAATAACTTCTGAAGTGCCTTCATGCGCTTAAAATTGTTTTTAAAACCATCACACGATGTGTCCCATAATATGGGCGTTGTTTTCAAATATAATATAAAAGCCTGTAAATATTTTTGATGGATTGTAGATGGTCCCGTCGAAACAGGATTCTCGGTTTCGTTTGCAATTTCGCCCGTATCGCTACAAAATTTGTCCTCTTTCATCGCTTCAACAGAGCAAACTGACGCGATCTGTATCGCAGCAACACTACACGCGAAATATTTATCACGATCCTTGGATGGCAATATGGATTTTCGGAAATCTAGAAATTCTGTTATCCATATCGCAATCCATCAATATTTGATACTACATGTTCAATAAATATCACGATCCTGGATCGCGATCAAGGGATCGTGATAAATATCACGAGTGTAGCATTCGCCTTAATGTACAATCAATCATAATTACAAACCTCAAAATATGCTCCATCAACCATGGAAATCTCATCAATAATAAGATGTTTACATTTTTTCCATTTTTGAGTTATTAGGGGCATTTTCATGGCTCTTTCACAAAGATTTTCAACTGATCCACTACCATCTCCTATGCCAGCAAAGGCGTGAAGTGTAGTTCCTCCTGTTAAAAAATAGAAACATTTAAAATAATAATAAGTTACGATGATTATTCATAGTTTTTATGCATTACATAAAGATTACATGAGACTAAATGTGTATGTTTATAAAGAAAAATAATGAATATAAAGAATATATTTGGTAAATATATGACTTTTGGAGCAAAAAGTTTCATCAATGCCAACTTTATAAAACACCACCAAGGAAAACCATAGCAAATCTTTTACTTCTGAGAAATGGTGGAATAACCATTTCAAATTTAGCCACATTTCACACTGATCAGTGACTAAAAGCTAAAAAAAATTCTGATTCAATATTTAAGCACATTATGCGAAAAACTTATGTTAAACAGTGTTGTATGCTGATGTCCTAGAGGGGTATCATCAGCATACAATGCTTAAACAAATAAGTTTTGCTTTACGTCTAAAAATTTTTAAACTTGTTAGGGGTAAAAATTCATTAAATGATGTACCTACTTACTTTACTGTTTTACAAAAATTAAATTGCATTCAAAATGCGAACAAAACAAAATGTCTTAAATTTTCTTTACTTAACTAATGTAAGGCAGTTACTAACCTTATAAAAGTGGAAAAATAAATATGAATAAAATGAAAATATTTTAGTATAAGTGATATTTAAATTACCTATTTTGTATTTGTTGATTGAAGTTGAAACTTTTAAAAGATACCTTTAATTATCTTTTAATAGAGTTTAGTTTTCATTTTTGGGTCGATGTATAATTATTAACAAGATTTTCTGTAATATTGCAAGAGTTGCCTTTGCATAAATTGAAAGACATTTAAAAAGCAATACATAGAAAAATTTTATTATTCAAAAATAAAAATGCTTGGACATAGAGATCTTCTATATATTTTTATTTGTTTTTAGTTATAATTTCTTTTAATTTTTAATTATTTCCTTATCCTAGTAATATAGGTACACAGTCCTGAGAAAGTTATTTGCATGTTGTATCCGCCTGTAATTATTTGTACATTTTAGTTCTTATCGCTTCATTGTATTTATATAGCATGTAAGGAATGATACAAATGTTGGTGGATCAATAAAAAAAAAAACTCACTCTTTAAGTACTTTATTAAAAATTTTGAGCTTTTCTAAATAATAATAAATTAAACACACTGATGCAAAGTTCAAAATAGCAGCAAAAAAGCAATGTATATGCACACCTTTCAGCTAATGCAAACATAGGTACCTATAGGAAGACAGTTGCTTTTTGCCAGACTTAAAACTAAATCTGTACTTGTATAGTGTGCAAAATTGATAGAAGTAAGTGACATAGCAAGGGGTCCATGGCTTTGGTACCGTTATAGTCTAAAGCAGTAAAGTCTTTTACTGAAGATTGGCCTCCTCCATAGATTGCCCCATCGCCTCATAGGGGGCCTCATATGGTAGGGAGATTTTAATGTTTTTGGTTATTATTAGGAATATGCTGCTGCTCATATCTCTCTGTCGCCTCTTACAAAACTCACAGGATTAAATTTTTTCAGGGATGCCAGTTAAAATCTCAAAACTGAAATATACTATTATTGAATACTTCGATCAAAACATTATGAACACCTAGGATTGAAAGTTCTGAAAAAAAGAGATAATCTGCACAAAGTCATTTGCCAAAGGTTATACAATTAACTTAAAAAAAATATTTATAAATTTTTCAATAGTATTTATAAAGTCGTTAACCAATTTTACTTTTTAAGAATAGCCTATTTTTGGCTCTAGCAACCTGTAGCATTCAATGCTACACCACTGATAACACATGAGAAGTAGTTAAAACTTAATTGGGATAATCAGTAAATAAGAAAATTTAGTAGTCTTACCAATATGACACGCTGCCACTCCTGTAGAAGCAGTAGGTACAGTAACATCTGGCGGCAATGCAGTCACTATTCGTTTTAATAAATAGCTTTTGCCAGTCCCAGCAGATCCAGTGAAAAATATATTTTTCCCTCCAAGGCAAGCTTCTAATACTCGTTGTTGTTCACAATTTAAAGAACTATGAGTAGTCAAGGGTGAAGGCGAATATAGCTTCTTAGGTGCTGGCCTTAGAGATTCGCTGTCAGCTTTACGTTTTCTAGGAGGTGAAGGAGTTGTTACAGTAGATTTGCTAATTTTACTTTTAGCATTACACATATCAGCAACTGTAACAGGGCTTACTTCTTCAAAGGCCTGAGCTTTACCACTTAGTAATTTAGCTCTCATGGTCTGTTTCGATGGCGTGACATTTGATTGTTTATCTCCAGTCATTTTAACAAATATTGTACGAAGAAAAGAAACAAGATTAGTAGGTGGTGCATTCGAAAGAAATAATGTACAACCAACGTCTTGAAACTTTATGCTAGCCTTTCCTTCGGCCATAAATTTTTTAAAAACATTAATACCTTTTAATGCTAATCTAATTGCAGCGTGTTTTTCAGACCCGATTTCCATAAACATTTCACGAAATTCGTTACGAATAAGTCGTAGTGAAGCAGACTTATAATTAATTTTTCTAATAATTGATCCTTGAGGTGTCGTCCATTCTACATTTACAGCACATGATAAGAAAGTTTCTCCGGCATCCATTTTATTTCATAATTTATCGGAAATCACAAGAAACATAACACAAACTAAGGTTTAAGGTTACTAAAGCTTAAGTTCATGAAAGTTCACCAAAGTTGACATCAGATCAGTTCATATTTCAAAATCATAAATATATAATTTATGAGGCAGGCAAAGGTTATATACCATAGAGTTTTATCTGATATGTTTTTTGTTAACAAAACTTCATAATATGCTGACACATCTCAATCTCATTGCGAAGTTCGTGAGATATATCGATGACAGCTTAATCAGCAAATTTTGTTAGTAGTTTTGCTAAAATTGATAATTAAGATACATCATGCAGACAGTGGTCAACGGCCTGACAATTTTTGATGCTGCAGCAATAAATACATATTTAATAGAATTGTGTTTAATTTTACCAGTTAAGTTCGTATTATTAGTTACAAAAGAGGGCCATTAGAGCAATATATGATTTAAAAACTAAAGAGGCGCTCAGACAAAAAATTATGGAAACTAACATACTAACTTGGGCCTCTCAATACATTTATAAAAATGTAATGTACGTACAACAAAAAAAAAAAAATAAGATTAGTTTTGCAAAAATAAGTGACGTTTATTCTAATAAAAAATAAAAATATAAATTTCTTTGCAAACTTCCGTAAATATTTTATATATTTAGCGGAAGTTTGCAAAGAAATTTATATTTTTATTTTTTATTATAATGGATTTCCGCAAAGTAACGCCTGATTCTATCAACTAATGTAACTGATGAATATTATCTCAGGCAATTATGGCTTCATAATTTTGATATACATAACTTAAAAGAAAACTCAGCAACAATGTACTTGTTTACGGAAAATTATGCCCATAAAGGGCCGAATGAAGTAATAACTGCTTTGGATGATTATTTTTTACACCATGAAATCCCAGATCAGATACATTTAGAAATATTTTGTGAAAATTGTTTCAGTCAAAATAAAAACAGATTTATTTTTACGTATTTTGATCAGTTGTGTGCGAAAGGCTTGTTTGAAACAATTTCCGTAAACTATCCAATTCCTGGGCATTCAATGATAACCATTGATAGAGATTTTGCTCTCATAGAAGGATAAAAATTAAAACATGAAAAAATTTCTGAACCTGACAGTTATGTCAATTTTGTATTAAACAGTAGAAATGCCAAGAAATTTGAAGTTGTATTTTTAGAAAAGAACCTGATAGAACGAGGGCAAATAGATAGGAGCGGAGAAGAGCGAGAAGAACAACGAGGTAACGAAAGAGTATTGAAAGTTGAAGATTATAAAACTTATTCTAATGATAATATTAAACAAACAATACCGGGAATTTCAGGTTGCCGTCGAGTTTTATTTAAAAGACATGCCAAGCCAGCCTTTTCGGATTCAATGACTGGCGATAACTTTAAAGATTTTTCTTTATAGTATAGAGTTGGTATATCTAGGTATCTTCGAGATGTTCCTGCTGATTGTTATCAAAATGCTATTGAAATTAAAGAAGCTAAAATTAATGACATTAAAAAACTTATTCGATTTGTACCACAAGAAAAAAGAAAATTCTATGAAACTTTGATTATGGAACAGGCTAAATTAGATGAAAGTCAAATTGTTGAGGAATTGGATGACGAAATAGAGTAACTAGCCTAGTTATTTTTAAAGGCTAATAGGTATTACTTATTTTTGATTAATAGAATACTGTTAAAGAAGCCAATTTTGTTTTGTTAAATTCCTTAGTCTTTAAAAAGAGGGAAAGAGGTAGGGTTACCTAAGTCCTGTTGATTTAAGATAAGTCCAAAATTTTGTTTATTAAATTAAAATTATTATAAATGCTTTTTATGTTTTGTTTTATGTACTAAAATAAAGAGTATTTTGTGTACTATAACAGTATGTTATTTTAATTTCAACATGTCCTGTGGTTAGTTTTCAAAAAAATTTAATATGATTTTTTTTATATTCCCAAAAATTGAAAAAGTGGACTTAGCCATTTTGAGCACCCAATTCCAAAAAATATACAAAATTTGACATACACAAAATCTAAAAACTTTAACTAAGTTTGTATAAAAAGGGTTATTATTATATTAAGGAATTTATGGATGATAAATGGTAATAATAATAACCCCTGGGCAGGGTAATCGCTACCAAGCTATTTCTAATTTGTTTTGTGTTATTAATTGTAACATACATGATTGTAAGCTGTTATTTAAAAAAATAGTCCCGCTGGGTCTCTTGCTGATTCTTCCCAGGACATAGGTTTTTTTGTGAACCCGTGTTAAATGAAAAAAAAAGTGATTTTCAATAAGTATTATATTTATAACTCATGTTTAATAATTAAAACCATAAGTATACCTAACCCAAGTCTATTATTAAAACTATGACAACGGAAACTTTACCCTCTAGTACTCAGAGTCTCAGACATAATAAGTTGAGGCGCGACTGGAGTGGCCATAGAATACTATAATGCATATATAGTAATCTATCGGAGTGGCTCTATCGCACAACACAGCCGCTTACATTTATATAATAAGTATGTACATAACGCATCGATCACTAATAAAGTTTATTATTAGTGATCGATGACATAACGCCATAAAGTGATATACAATCTATTAAAAATTTTGCTTTAAGCAAATATACGCAATCAGCGCTGCTAGCGGTGTGTCATAAAATTATTTTACGATGTAACAATAACATCTAGAAATAGCAATGTTGTGTTTAGTTGTTAATATCGTTAAACAATCTCTATTCATTGATTCGGTTTTTATTTTTTTGCACTCAGAAGCAAAAGTAAAAGACTACCCTCCGGGAAGCGGGAGAGGGAGGTGGTGAATGCTATAAGCATACCACGCAGCCGGCTGCGTAGTTATGTGGGACTCCCTGTCTTTCTCAGAGACAAGGGCCAATTCACAAACCTCTTAAAAACCTGTTACGACACAGGTATAAAATACGACCAAGCCACCAACCTCGGTGAGTCAATTAAGATCACCCCTCTCACCAGGCTCTTCACGGCCGAACGTGTGTCCTATCACACGTACGCTCTTCCGAAAGAGCGTAAGGTTAGAGCTGTCCTCCGCGGAGTTCCTTTAAAACTCGCCAACGAGGAGATCCTGGAGGACCTTATGTCCCAGGGCTTTCCAATCGACTTTACAGCAACAAAGACAAGAAGTTCCCGCTTACCCTTCTCATCCTAACAAACGTGCCCAAGGCAAAGGCCATATTCCAGCAGGTACACACAGTGTGTGACCTGTCGCGAGTAAAGGTCTCGGGCTCGGTTATCCGGCGCAGTGCCACCGCTGCCAACTTTATGACCATGCGGCGGCCAACTGCCCCTCCCCCCAGGTGCGTTAAGTGCCTTGACCCGCACAGCTTGAACGAGTGCCCTCGGCCCCGTAATGCCGAATCCCCACACGCGTGTGTCCTATGCGGACAGCCTGGCCACCCGGCTAACTTCAGAGGTTGCCCTCGCACTCTTTGCCCCCATCCCAACAAAGCTGCCAAACCAGCGCCACCACAATTACCATTCATTCCCGGCTCTTCCATCTAAATTGACCAGTCAGCGTCGACATAGGGGAGATTGTTATCCTAGCACGCAAATTGCACGCTGCTCAGTCCCCTCAAGACCGCCTCCTTGCTTTTGCCGAGCATCACAACCTGTGTGTTGTTTGTTCCCTATAAATTAAGGAACACAAAAGTAAGCTTTCGTACGCTGCGTTAGTTAGTCGTGCTCAAAGAGTATAATAAGTATATACAGGAATATATAAGTATAATAAGTATATACAGGTCGTGCTCTAAGCGGCTACTCGCCGCCTGCGCTGCCCTTTCTCCTAGGGGGTCGCTTCCGATACGGCTATAAGACCTAAATTCAGGTTAAAGCCAGTCTGACAGAAGGTGTTTAGTGGGTAAGGCACCGAGGTTTTCTCGGTGAGTCCCACATAACGACGCAGCCGGCTGCGTTATATGCTTAGAGTATTCACAACCTCCCTCTCCCGCTTCCCGGAGAGTAGTCTTTTACTTTTGCTTCTGAGTGCAAAAAAATAAAAACCGAATCAATGAATAGAGATTGTTTAACGATATTAACAACTAAACACGACATTGCTATTTCTAGATGTTATTGTTATATCCGTAAAATAATTTCATAACATACCGCCAGCAGCGCTGATTGCGTATATTTGCTTAAAGCAAAATTTTTAATAGATTGTATATCACTTTATGCCGTTATGTACATACTTATTATATAAATGTAAGCGGCTGTGTTGTGCGATAGAGCCAATCGATAGATTACTATATATGCATTATAGTATTCTATGGCCACTCCAGTCGCACCTCAACTTATATGTCTGAGACTCTGAGTACTGGAGGGTAAAGTTTCCGTTGTCATAGTTTTAATAATAGACTTGGGTTAGGTATACTTATGGTTTTAATTATTAAATATGAATTATAAATATAATACTTATTGAAAATCACTTTTTTTCATTTAACACGGGTTCACAAAAAACCTATGTCCTGGGAAGAATCAGCAAGAAACCCAGCGGGACTATTTTTTTAAATAACAGCTTACAATCATGTATATATATATACAACACGTAAAATAATTAACGCACTTTGAGAAAGTAGTTCGTACAGAATCGTTTGCAGAATTGATTCCTATCATTTTTACGAACTTTATGAACATTTTATGAACTTTATTTCAAGCACGTTAAAGTCTTTGCGTTCGTGCATTTGTACTGTGACCACAACATTCTTCCGGAATTAGTATAAAAATAATCAGTGCATAAAAATGTAATAGAAATGTTTAACTAAAAATTCAATGTATGTCTTATGATTATAACATAATATACTAATTGGGTTACATATTGTATATATATATATATATATATATATATATATATATATATATATATATATATATATATATATATATATATATATATATATATATTAATAAATAATTAGTTAAGAAAACAATACTACTTAGAGCAAAAGGAAAACCTTCGTGAAGTTATTTTAAACATAATATCTAAACAATTAAAGCTGACAGATAAAACGATTGTGTTAAAGTTTACCATCGGCTTGGATCATGTTTAAAATAGACACGACCTTTTTTGTTCGGTTTTTTGATTCTGAGTAGAGGGGGTTTATTTGGGATAACAAAACCAATTTAAAAGGCTCCGGTATCACCATCTCAGAGTTTTTAACGAAAACCAGGCATCACATATTAACTACAGCACGTAAGCACTTTAGAATTAAGCACTGCTGGTCTTCTGAAGGAAAAATTGTTATAATCCTCCCCGATAAAACCCGACAAAAAATTGAAACGTTCGCTGAATTGGAACAACTCATCGTGAAATATCCTTCTAGCTCCGCTACTAACGATAACATATCACAGTCCGCTAATAGAACATCAATAACTGTTAACGCCCCGAAGAAATCACGCCGAGGCATAATAATTATAATAATAATAATTCTTTATGATCAACAAAAATAAATCACAAAAGTTTTTTGAAGTCTCTGACTCCCAAACTAGACGAGTCTGTATTTTAGGAATCAGCGGCCTCTCCCAGATTTGTAATACAGGTAACACTAAGAGAATTATGCATGTTTTCATTATTACAGTAGAAACAAAAGAAAAGTAAACAATTTAAAGTTAGTTCATCATCATTAAAAGTTATATTAAATACCAAAAAAAAATATAATATAATAAATTATTCTTAGAATTTTGTTAAGTTTGTTATAGAGTATTATAGAGAGATATGCGCTTTGCCGTCTAGCGCCCGAACTTAATAACGAATCTCTTTTTTAGGATTAATAGCAATCCGAGATTGTACCCTATACAAAGATCGATCCAAATCCACATCCCAATAACATAACTTAACAAGCCCAATCTTTTTTTTGCGGCGATCGCAGTCGATCCAAACAGATGTTTGGATCGATCCGTTTCCTCTCGACTGTTTCGTTTTATGCATAGCGACTATTGCTTCTTTCAAATAGTTGTATTAATATAATAACATAAAATGTAATTTTAGATTTATAACTATTGACTTTAATTAGAAGTTATTACATTAACTCCTTTTTTCTCCCTAAAATTATAAAATGATTATATTTTTATTTAAATCAATGTAACTATGGTTTGAAAACAATCACGTAACGGAACGCCGCCGGTCAGTAGCGCCCGCAGCGTCATCGGTCATCGCTCATCGCGTTTCGCGTCGGTTTAAAAAACAATTATCAAGTTTCACTGCTTCGGTTCGATCACAGTTCGAGAACAGAAATATTTACAGCAAATACTTTTTGAATAATAAAATAATGGAGCCACAAATAGTAAGTTAAATTGTAATACATTAGATATTGTATCATTTGATGCTTGATGTACAACTACATAAATCGCTTTTTATTTCAGATAAAGAACAAGCCACTTTCAAAAGATGAAAGCAAAGCCTTACTCGAACTTATTGAAATGAGCAAAATTATAATATCTAAAGCCACAAACGCCAGCAGCAATAAAATGAAAGATAAAGAGTGGGTACGAATAGCCGAGCAGTTTAATGCTACAGCAACAAGTTGTCGTCGGACACCACAACAGCTTCGGCTGAAATGGGAGAATTTAAAGAAGAATGCACGTAAACGTTGCACTAAAATAAGAATGAACAACATAAACGTTAGTTTCATTGTTTATTTATTTTTAATCTAAGTATAAATAAATGATTAACCATTTTATTTACATTCTTTATTAATTTCATCTTTTTGATTTGCAGACTGGCGGTGGTGTTGGTGAGTATATACCCCCAGACGAAATACTGGATCGTGTTACCAGCTTATTGGGGAATACAGCTAGTGGATTAGTTGTTCCTTATGGGGGAGATAGGGAACCCGAGCACTTTGTAGTGATGTGATGGTGGTGGTATCGTGCCAAATGGAAATGGTGTAGAGGAATTAGGTGGTGATGCTAGGGTCAATCTAGAAATCCTAGAGTTTCAGGACACACCAGTGCCAGATCCGCAAAAGGAAATGGTTGTGACCCCTACTTCTCCACATTCAGCAATGGCTCAGGTTAACACCTATGCTGTTGCTGAACAAAATAAAGTTTCGGATACACCACGGAGAGTAACATTCAATGTTCCTAAAACAGGTAATGGTTATTTTGATGTTGATAGAATTTTAATTTATAAAATAACAATTTCGCATGGTGTTCCATTCGCTGAGGTGGTGGTATGGTCAAATTTGTAGTCCGCTTTAGTTTAAAAGCAGTGTAAATTGAGGTAAAATAGTAATAGGCAAAAGATATACTCCTTTTTTATTTTAAAAAAGCTAACTTGTAATTTAATAAATTAAATTAATTTGTATTTTACAGGTAAAAGGAAATTGCAGGGTGATGGGTCGAAATCTGCTAGAGATCGTGCCATTGCAGAATATTATACATTTAAAAAACTGTGCCTGGAGTCAAAATTAGAAAATAAAAAACTTAAATTAGAAAATGAAAAACTTCTATTAGAAATAGAAAATTTTAAGAAATAGTTATTTGTGTAATAGTATGTAAGTGTAAAAAATAATTAAGTATTCTGATACATAAAAGACAGTCATGTCTGTAAGTAGTTGTTAATAAATTCAAGCTTTGTATGTATTCATGATTTGTAATATTAGTAGTTATGTAGTTTGTATTTGAAAATCTTTTAACCAATAAAATATGTATGTAATAAATGTATTAAAGTTAGATTAATGTCTTAGTAATATAGTAATTAAAGAGTAAAATAATTTTTATTGAATATTTGTTTTATTTTTACAATTAAATTCACAAAATATAAAGAAAAGTAACACTTGTGATCTCTGAGTTCTTTGCCTGCTAAATAGCCTATAATATATAAATATTATTATTAGCAACTCCTGTTTAAATTGAACAAAAATTTAAAAAGGGTAAGTATTTTTACTTACTTGGAGACTATTATGTGGATGATATGTGGTATAAAAGGAGGAAAAGGTAGTTACAAATTAAATACTTTTTTTATAAATGTCTACGTATTATAGTAATAATTGTATTTTGATAGAAATAAATAATTTTTATTGATTTTTTAAATTTTTACAATTAAATTTACAAACTTTAACAAAAAATAACAACTGATTCTACATTCAATTTTTAACCTTTAACATCAGTGCAAGCCTGCATCACATCACATTACAATTTGAATACATATTATTTGCACTCGCATCTCAAAACAGTTAACAAAAAATAGTTGCTTTATGCAGTTGGTAAGGAGACCGATGAGCTACATCGTTCATAAGCTTTGAGCTTGAATTTTTCTTTAAATAAAATACATTTAAAGAAAAGTACCACTTGTGATTTCTGATTTCTAGTTAGTTGCCAGCACACAGTTACATGGAGACTATTATAAAACATAGAAGGTAGTTATAATTATTTGACTTCTTTTATATAAATTAATCAATATTATAGTAATTAATGTACATTTTTATAATATACATTAATTACTATAATAAAAATTAAATAAATATAATTAAATTCACAAACAATTTATAAAGAAAAGTAACACTTAATAGGAACTTCACAGTTTATTTCAATTTAACAATATTTTAAAAAGATTAAGTACTATTACTCACATATGTGGTATAGAAGTAGTAGAAGGCAGTTATAATTTAAGTTCCTTTTTATAAATATCTCAGTAGTATAGTAATATAGTAATTAATGTGTATTTTTAATAGAGAAATTAATTTTTAATACTTGCTTTATTTTTACATTTGAATTTAAAACTAAAAAAATACTAACAATTTAATTTCTAACTTATTCTACATAATTGTTTTTACCTGTAATGTTAATTAAGGCAGTTATTTGTCCAATGAGTGTCAACGTTTCTATAATGTCATAAAATAATTATTTATCAAATCAGTTCTATGGTTTGTAGGAATATCATTAACAACTACATTAGGAGGCATTGTACTATTATCGATAGATGGTAGTTCTACTTCAGAGGGGATTTCTGTGAGATTGTGATTTCTGCAAATATTATGTAGGACTGTAGTTGCTATTATTACTGCTTGCTTATTTGGTATTGACAAACGTAGTGTAAGAGCTACAACAGGGAACCTACGTTTCCATACTCCAAATGCTCTGTAATACAAATAATTTGTTTATTAAACACCAGTATTCCCGTAACGCATTTTATCTAATAATACTGTTTTATTTAACATACCGTTCAATAGTATTTCTAGTTTTAATGTGTGCTTCATTGTACCTATGTTCAGCTTCAGAAACTGGATTCAGAACAGGTGTTAATAAATATGGCCTGTTTGGATAGGCACTATCTCCAAGTAACCAGCGATTTCCGAATTGCCCTGCATCACATTCAGCTGTTATAAAAATAAAGAATATTAGGCTCTGACAGTAAATATTCAAATTTATTACAATTTGAATACATATTATTTACACCTACCTCTCAGAATAGAGTTATTAAATATAGTTGCATCATGCGTAGAACCAGGCCAACGAGCCACAACATTTATAAACTTTAAGTCTGCATCACAAACACCTTGAACATTTAAAGAAAAGTAACCCTTCCGATTTCTGTATTCTTCGCCTATTAAATGACCTAAAATATATAAACATTATTATTAGCAACTTCATAGTTTATTCATATTTGCCAAAATTTTAAGAAGAGTTGAGTATAGTTACTTACATGGAGACTGTATGCGGATATGTGTGCCATCAATTGCCCCAAGCACGCGAGGAAATCCAGCAATTCTATAGAATTTGTCTGCACTCCTTCGATGAACATAAATATATTTATCATATAATTGGGCAATTGCTGATGATGTGTCTCGCACTATTCTGCCTGCTGTAGATTTTGAAACTCCAACAAAATCTGCTACGGATATCAACATTGTGCCTAGTGCATAAAACCGTAGGGTCAACAAAAGCTGATGTAATGGTGATACTCCGTAATTTCTGCAAAGGATTACATAAAATGAAGTATATTATATACTTAGATTGTAAAAAATTATCTAATTTGCTATAGACCAGCTTTGCTTTACCTCGTGGATGTTACTCGTAATAATGGGGTTATTTCTAACAATAAAGAATTGAACGCATGTTTGTTCAATCGAAACCTAAAGGTAAAATCACCGTCATCGAGACTTTGCGTATAGTTCACTCTTCTGATTCTCTTTGGAGTGCGGCGTAGGGTTTCATCTTCATCACTTGAGTCAGATAACTGAGCTAGCATTTCCAAATCACTGTCACTGTCACTAGATAGTAATGTTAAATCCATTTTCGCGCAAATAAAATAAAACAAAATACGTAATCGGTTGGAACTCGAAGGATTAATCCTAGGCTTTTCTCGGATTGCGAATTTGGATTGTTTACACCGATCGAACTAAACGTCAAAATTGACAGATAGGTTATTGATACACACATATTGTCATTCGCCCACAGAGGTCTATCTTTTTTTGTAATTCGACCTCCCGAGGATAGCTTGCTTCTACAGATTGTAATTTTAATCCCTGGATTGATTGTTGGCACTGTCTAACCATAATATGGATTGAATTATCAATCTTGGATAGCTAAAATTGTTATAGATTAAGATCGAGATATTAGGTTCGGGCGTCTAGCAGAAGCAGTGCGACATACAGTGCCAGTACGTTGGGTATTCTACATTTGTTACAACAGATCTCAAGGTCGTAGGGAGTGCGATCGTGTTGCTTGGTCATCAAATTTTGAACGTATAATCGCCTGACAGACTGCAACTTGCATTCGCTGTATAATAATTTTGTTGAGTATCTATAAGGTTTAAAAGTCATAGTTTTTAGTAAACATCTTTGTGCTCTTTCGAGTTTAATTAAAAAACTTTTGGACGCATAAATAATTGAATATAAGTGAATATGTATGTCTTATGATTATAACATGATATACTAATTGGGGTGTCTGAGGGTGTGCGTTAATTACGTTACATTATTGTATAATATATACAGGGTCATTTTTAATTTACTGAAGACCTTTGGGGAATATAATATTTACACCATAACAACAACATCTGTAAGAAAAAAAATATATTTCTTCAATTTTTATTTTCATACAAAAATAAAAATATTTTAATTGGAGCTTCTAAACGGTAATAGTCCTAGTTAGCTATAAAAAGCGCGTGGCGAGAGAGGGGTGGAGGGGTGTAGGAGGCGACGATACTCATTTAAACTTGACCTAATTAGTAACGTGTGTCGTCAGTCGCCTTTGATGCGCCCGCGACGCTTGTCTTTTCGTTGTGAGATTATTTTATTTATTTTATTTTTTTTTATTTTATTTTATTTGGAAGTCCAACAGCTATCATAATTAGGATAGATAGTATTAATAACAACAGTAAGCCAATTAAAGATCCTCACTAATAGATACAAAGGTAAATTTACAACAGTGATAAATACGATTTAACACTCGAAAGTATCCAATACAACATATTTATGCCAAATGAGAGCTAAACTAAGCTAAGCTTTTGTATTATACGAGTACATACAAAAGACAATCAACTCATACTTAGGACAGTCAATAACACTACAAGCTATTTTTAACAGAAAAATAAACACAAATACAAAAGTAAATCATAGTTGTGTAGCAACGCATCAACATCTCACTTAGAGCTTCCAAAAAATGCATTGTTAAGTATGCGCCTAGCTGACGCAACACTAGTGTTAAACAAAGCGAAGTCAAATTCATTGGCTAGCTTATTGAAATTATTGCTCGCTCGCCATATAAATGTATTTTGCCTATAATTTGTAGATGAAAACGGGAGACTTAAAATGTTGTTGTATCTAAGAGGTTTGGCAGGACAGCTAACATGTAGTTGAGATAAAAGCTCAGGACAGTCAATAGCACTACAAGCTATTTAACAGAAGGTGATGTTTTTTACAATAACTAATATAATTATCTGAGGTATAGCGATAGTCATTGGTTCTATAACAGAGGTAACGCATAAACTTACTTTGGATATTTTCAAGTCGGGTAATACATGTTGCCTACACATACATACAGGTTTCAGATTTGTGATGCGTACTCCAAATTACTTCTTACAAGAGAACAATATAGGATGTTTAGAGTTTTAGATTTAGTGAAGTCCCTAGAGTTTCGCATCAAAAATCCAAGAGCTTTGGTAGATTTGGTTATAATGCTTCCTAAGTGAACGTCAAATATCAATTTGGAATCATGAAGAACACCGAGATCTCTAACAATGGAATCCCTTTTAAAATTTTCACCTTTCAATTGATAGTTAAAGACAATCGGTTTATATTTGCGACTATAGGACATAAAGCTACATTTCGAAGGGTTCAAATCTAAGAAGTTTAGGTGGCAATAACGCTCTAGATTTAACAGATCTTCTTGTAGAGTCTCAGCATCCTCGATTGATGTTATTTTCAGAAATAGCTTCATATCATCGGCAAAACATAATAAGCGAGCTTTCTTTAGGTAATATGTAATGTCATTGATAAAAATAACAAATAATAACGGACCCAGCAGTGAGCCCTGT